CTCTCTGTTGAGAGTGTCGTATCAAGTCGAATTATATTATGGAATTACATTATATTCATTGTCAAAATACTTAAATCGACCTAAGCAACCTGTAAATTTGGAATTAGCCTAACAATACGTGGATATTGTTGTAGCGTCTCTCTGCGTAACGCAAGCGTGACTCATTGTTCATAATACCAAGTAGGACCTCCTTGGTTAACTGACCTGCTGTCGACGGCAAACCACCAAACGACAACTGTCCATCCATAAATAACGTTATGCAATAAAGAACTGTTTTACATTAGCCAATATCCTCTGCTGTTGTCCATTTAAAAAAAATGGCTTACTAAATTATCATCCATACTATATGGAAATAATTTAATTGTATATTATGCTATTTAGGGTTCACTCATTCATAACAACCGCATAGTTTTATGGTAACTCATTTTGACTCAACTCAAATCGTATGTTGTATAATAATGTATTATGGGTAGAATAGAGTAAGCATACTATAGATTTTATTATTTCTATAATAACAGTTTTAAAAAATAAAAATAAAATGGAATTATATGGCTGTTTTCATGAACAAGGACCAAGTACTGTACAATCTAATCTGTAAACCAAGTCAAACAGTCTGATAGAAAGCCAAAGCTATATTATGCATAAGGAAGTATATATACACATAAGTCATAATATTATATGCTATATTATAGTCTCCGGATATAGCCTACTGTATGCGGTATCTCATCATTGTAGTAGCCTAGTATGGCAACAACTAAAATGAGAAAAGAGAAATAATTTTACAATACTTACCAAAGGATTTACAAATTTCTTTGCCGACTCCCCACCAAATCCAAATTGGGTGTAGTGACAGGGTCTATCTGGGCCACACATTGTCGTAGGTTTAGAGGACTTCTTCGTATTCGAGGATACTATATTGGCTATCTCCTCAATCGGTCAGTTATTGACCAAACATAGAAACAACTCCTCTTTTATGTAACTCCCGCGTTCGAATGAGTATCCGTTTCTAGTATCTTTGATATCCGGTTGTATAAAGTAGGTTAGCGTCATTCACTCAGAAAATGCGCATGCGTGGAAAACGCAATTGTTTATTTTGAAAGAAAGATGTCAATAATATTCCAACGTGAAATTAAATAGATAAAGAGTAGTTTGCCTTACCACCAGACCAGATTATATTTACTGTAAATAAAACATGGGTTCCAGGTAATTCTTTCTGATTGCTGGGTTGTGTTTTTTTGGCGTACAATCGTGTTGGCGAGGAGACCTTCATGGACTTGGACAAGGTTATGATTCACGAGCTTGAAACTAGTTCAAGGTAAATATATGTGTCGTCGCGTGACGTCAGTGAACGTCAACGTGCTGACCAACAATTGCAATAACTTTCTCTCTCCGCATTCGATTTGGATTTATATTTATTTATACATTTGAACATATGCCTTAGTATCGGCAACACTAGCAAATGCGGTGTGTTCAGCTTAGCTACACTTAATACAAACCAGTGGTGGCACTAGGATTCGCCCGACGGGGGTGGGGGGAGCAGATTCCTCGACAAGAGCAAAGTGGGTGTGGTCGGACGTCCCTCAAAATCTTTTGAAAGTGGTCCAGTGGGAAAGCCCTCAAAATACATTTTATGGATTTCAAAGGATTATTTAATCGATTTTAGATCCTGATATGTATATACATACAATTTTTTTCTCCCCGACGAATTGTGGTCTCCCTGACCGGCGTGGGGAGAGAGAAGCCTCCCAATGAGGAGACTGTATCCCCTCAACCGTAACGCCGCCACTGATAAAAACTACAAGGGATACAGTAATCAATAAAAGTAATGAAAAAGCAAAATTAATTGAAGGAAACTATTCATTGACGTTATGAACACCTCTCCCACCCTCCGTACAGTTAAAAAGTTAGGTCAATGGCAAAGATACAAGTTCACTAATGTTGAATCTACGAATTGTACAAAAAGCACAATAAAACAAAAGAATACAGTGCTGACTTACTAAATTTACTTAAATACAGGATAAAAAATGAAATCACTCAAAATACTGTACATGTTTACATGGAAAATCAAAAACCAACAAAAAAAGTAAATACTGTAAAAATAATCAAAAGAACCCACAACAACAACTAACTACAAAAAAAAATAAATAAATAAAAAATATTGAAAAAAAGAAAGGAAAAGAAAAAAGGGTTTAATGGACGGGCTGGGCTGGGCTAGCTGTCGAACAGACTATAGTCAAAATTGCTGTTTCTACTAAACAATATCGACTTAGGTTGGGGAGTTGAGGGCAGCCGTGGCTCCAGAAATTTGCAGACAAGGGGTCCGACATGTCGGCGACAGGTGGTCCGAACCAAGATACCACTAAAGCCTCTGTCAGGGCCCCGGAATAAAAATAACAGTAAGGTTCACGAAGATAGATTTATGGTTTAGTATGGACCAAGATTTGCTTTTTTATACCACAACAAACGATTAGGAATCAAAATAACGTTACTAACATTTAGGTAGGCAGATTCATATTTTTCATCCAACGACCTTGTCGCGGTGTCGGACGACGAGGGGTCCAGAATTCCCCCGCTGGTGCCACCACTGGTTGAGGGATGGGGAGTTGGGGGTGCGACGGTGAG